TTGAATTGGTTGTATTGATTGGTGCTCAAGTCGGATCAGACTGGACTTCAGTACTGAAGAAGCGGCAAGATTTTAGGTAGGCGTGCGTGATTTCAAAGACAAAGAGGATCTTTACTGCTTTGATTGTTCGGTGCAATTACGGATGTCCTTATTATTATTATTATTATTATTATTTTGTCGCATTTGGGATTATGTATTCGATAATAATTGGATGTAGGGGTGCTAATTAAGTTGGGGATTAAGTCCCTTTGGTTGGTTTGGCCGATTATTGCTTAGCTTGACGGATATTTGGTTTTGCAGGGAGGCCTTTTCAGGATTTGATGCAGAAGTTATTGCCGGATACAGTGAAAGGAACATACTATCAATTAGTTCTGATTATGGCATAGATGTAAGCCAAGTTCGAGCTGCTGTTGACAACGCTAACCGAATTCTTGAGGTAAAGAACAAAAATTTTCAATGACTTTGTCACCCATTTTCTTTCTTCTTTTTCCTACATTAATTAATCATGTAGAGCAAAGCCGAAAACCTTTAATTTTTGCTCCAATATGCTGCTTTACGTTCACAAACTGTTTATATATATTAGACCATTCTTTCAGAAACGAAGCTTTAATTTGTTAGCTCTGAATTTATTGTCAAAGATTGATTTATCATCAATAATTTGCTATATATCGAATTGCTGGCAGGGTACTATCTTCATGGAAAAGTTTCAATCTGTTTTACAGGTTAGGAAAGAATTCGGATCATTCAACAACTACTTGTGGGGATTTGTAAACCACAAACCTATTGTCACTCAGTACAAATCATGCAACAAGATCCCTGTAAAGACCTCAAAATCCGAAGCCATCAGCAAAGACATGGTGAGGAGGGGGTTTAGGTCTGTTGGCCCTACTGTAATCCACTCATTGATGCAAGCAGCTGGTCTCACCAACGACCACTTGATCACTTGTCCAAGACACCTACAATGTATTGCCTTGGCGTCTCAATTTCCTACGGTAGCCCCAGCTCTGTAGATTCATCAAAGAGTTAAACAAAAGAAGCAGAAAAAATATTAAGGACAAGATTAATAAACGATGTGCCATACTTAATATATCATAGTTATACAACGAAAGAAGCTTAGTGGTCATATAATTAGCCACTTAGTTAGCTTTCCCAAACTAAAGATTAATTGCTTTTTGGATTGTGATAAAGTGTGTGTACTTGCTAAAGATGGCAGTGGTGGGGCCAGATATGAGGAATGGATTAGGATGAAGATTGAAGAGAAAAGCGACGGCAGACAGCATGTGCAGGTGGGCAGGCAATGGCTCTTACTTTCCTTGTGATCCCCAGACAGTCTCCATTAATTGCTCCCATTCAAACTCGAAACTGCCTGAGGAGGATATGGCTGGAGGCCTGATAACCGTAGGGTTGTACTTGTTGGGCTAGCCCTTCTCATTTGCTCTTCGTATTGTTATATAGTTTGTTAATGTTGGAAAAAATTGTGATAAAAGAATTATAAATAATTATTTTATTAAAATATAAGTTTTGAAAAGTTATTAGATACAATTATTAAATAGTTATATTATGAAAAGAAATAATTATTTAAAAAATTATATTATAAAAAAAATAAATTTTTTTATACTATTTGAAGAGTCATATTATATTATGAAAAGATACAAATCTTTTCATTGAAAGACTTATTGTTCTTACATTGTCAATTACACAATTCTAAAAAATATATTAAGGACTTTGTTGTATATTGAAAGTTGAAAAAATATCTTAAAGAAAGTGTTAATTCACGCATTCAAAGTCATACTCTTCTTTCTTCTCAAAATATTCTTCTTTTTCTTCTCAAAATTTCTAACAATCTTAAGGTACTTTTTTCAACCTTTTTCTGCAATTATTCGTGATAGAGACTGGGTTGGATTCAAGTGTGAAGGTTCACTTCCAAAATCAAGAAGTGAACAAACTCAATAGATTCGACGAAACAAATTTCATTAGATGGAGGGATAAGATGATATTCCTATTAACCACATAAAAAATTTATTATGTTCTTAAGACGAATCAATCATCAAATCCAAAAAAAATCACATCAATAGAAGCAACATCTTTTGAAAATATCACTACAATAAAAAGTACTGCCGCAACCATTACTGATGTTGACATGGAGAAACAGAAACATGATGAGTTTATATGTCATTGATACATTCTCAATTCTCTACTGATCGTTTGTATGAGCTCTTTAAGACTTTCGCAAAAGAAATCTAAGCTGCACTCGAGAAAACATATAAAAAAAAAAGGTATGGATAAATTTCTTACATTGAGATACTTGGAGTTTACCACAACGGATACCAAACCAATTATAGATCAAGTACATGAGTTATGAATTCTGACCTCTACATTAAATGAAATCGAAATCAAAATTCCTGACTCACTTCAAGTGGGAGCAATTCTATCCAAACTTCTACCTTCTTGGAATGTATATAGGAAGAAAATTTTACACTCTCCGAAAAGTTTTATTATTGAAGAGTTTCAAACTTGTTTGCATATTGAGTCAAAGACTCGTTTCCTGTGACGGAATATTCAAACTCAGCATCAATGAAATGAATAATTCTTTTGTGTGTACTGTTGAACATTCTTCTGATTTATGGCATGCTAGACTAGGTCATTTAAATTTTCAATTTTTAAAATTTATGTCAAAACATGATTATATTTCATGTCAAAAAGATAGTTTTGAAAATTGTGAAATTTGTGTTGAGGCAAAAATGACTAAGAAACCTTTTTCAAAAGTTGAAAGAAAATAAAAATTATTAGAACTTCTATATTTTGATATTTGTGAACTAAATGATTTACTAACAAGGGGAGGGAAAAGGTATTTTATAACATCAATTGATAATTATTCTCACTTCACTTATGTTTATTCAATGAAAACAAAAGATGAAGCATTTGATAAATTCAAAGAATTTAAAATTGTTGTTGAAAATAAAAAAAAAAGAATAAAATTCTTCGAAGTGATAGAGGAAGAGAATATTTTTCAAACTCATTTTCTCTATTTTGTAAAAAGAATAGAAAAATTCATCAAAGAATAACTCTTTATGTATCCTAACATAATAGATTAGCTGAAAGAAAAAATAGAATGTTAGTAGATATGTTAAATAGTATTTTGTTAAATGCAAAAGCTCCTTTTAATCTTTGGGGAGAAGCACTTTTAACAGATCATATAAGTAATAGAGTTCCTTTAAAAAAATTACTTATGACACCATACGAATTATAGAATAATAGCAGAAAACTAAATTTGAATTATTTAAAAGTGTAGGGGTGTATAGCTTATTATAAAGTCACGTATCCTTATAAGACAAAATTAGGACCTAAAGGCATTAAAAGTATTTTTGTTGGTTATACACAAAATTCAAAAGTATATAAATTACTTGATTTAAATTCTGATGTTATAGTTGAATCTATACATGTTGATTTCTTTGAAAATAAATTTGTTTACAATTCTATTAATTTTCAAAACAGAAAAGCAAGTTGAAATGGCTCCAATAGTTGGTGAAAAAAGAAAAGAACTTAATAAATCTATTGAGCCAAGAAGAAGTCAAAGATTGAGAAAGAGAAACATTTAGATTCTGTTTATGTTTCTCTGGATTCAATTATTTTTCTAGTTGAAGAAGATAGAATCAAAATAAACACCACTTCTATTAAGTATAAATGAAGACCCCAAAACTTTCAGTGAAGCAATATCTTCAAGAGATGTAGCTTTCTAGAAAAAAGCTGTAAATGATGAAATAAACTCAATAATGTCTAATAATACACGGATCTTAGCTAATTTGCCTTCAAGTTTTAAATCAATTGGATGTAAATGGGTGTTTAGAAGAAAATATAATACTGATGGTTCTGTACAAACCTTTAAAGCAAGATTAGTTGCTAAAAGTTTCAAACAAAAAAAAAGCATAGACTATTTTGATACATATGCTCCAGTAGCTAGAATAGCATCCATTAGAACACTTATAGCATTAGCTTCGATCTATAAGTTACATATACATCAAATGGATGTTAAAACAACCTTTTTTAAATGGTGATTTAAAAGAGGAAGTATATATAGAACAACCATAAGGTTTTATACTTCTTGAAAATAAGAAAAGGGTTTGTATATTGGTAAATCACTTTATGGGTTAAAGCATGCTCCCAAACAATGGCATGAAAAATTTGAGTGAAAAATGTATACGTTAACTAATTATATGAACAACGTCAATTTCATAATTCTAAAAATTATATTAAACCCTTTTTTGTATCTTGCAAGTTGAAAAAATACTTTAAAAAAAGTGTTAATTCACGCCATCAAAGTCATACTCTTCTTACTTCTCAAAATATTCTTCTTTTTCTTCTCAAAGTTTTTAACATGTATTATACTTGGGTTCAGTAAGACTAAGAGGTGGACAGATATACATGCATATTCTCTGCAAGAGCGAACTGAATCTGCTTCTATATTATATATGCTCCCACATTCATAGAAGGCACCGCACAATCTTTCGAGTCCTGATCACGCCTCAGTGGTAGCTTTTCATTAATTCTCCTTCAGTTTCAATAATCAACGGAGTAGTCAATGCTCAACAACTAATTACTGCTGCCAATATTGCAGCTGGAATTCTATCCTTTTAGAGTGAAACAGAGATTGTAGCCCGATCTGTTCATCTGTTAGAATGTAATCCGAGAGTTTATTGTCGTCAACTATGAAATGAAACCACCTTTTATGACATGTAAACGAACCTCGCAGCTCTAGTTGCTTACACACCTTAACTTAGAACATTATTCATTAATATTCAAGGCATCTTCTTACTTTTCTCCATGTGCTGTCAGCTAATTTCTTTCTTGTTTATACGTACATGACATAGGGAATACCAGATTTGTCTCTTCCTGGTAACAAGTTTAGATGAGCAAGCAGCAGAGATATGCCATGACCGAGCGTGATGTTTGCTGAGACTTGAGATTTGGCTTCAACCCCAGTTGGGCGGAACCGAGGGAATCTAGGAAGGGATGTAGTTGGGAAAGCATGGAAGTCGCCTCAACTTGTGTTAATCATGCGATTACAACATAACAAATTGTGAGATTAATGTTGAAGCAATGAATTTAGTATCAATTCCTAAACAGGTGGAGAGAGGAGACCCGATGAGATGGGCAGGTCAAACAACGTAACTTGTTAAAATAAAGGTGAGCTTGAGACATGCATGTGAAATTGAGTATTTATTTCAAAATAAAACAGCGTGATACATAGTAAATTAAAACTAAAGTAACAAGTTATAAGCGTGTTGGCACCGCACACAAACGCCACATCAACATTCAACACGGCTAATTGTGTGTTGTTTTGTTTACCCACGGCGTGCCAATTATAGTTTTTCTGTCTGTCGCGGACTTTGAAATATTGATTGATTCCTTTCGCTTTGTTTGTTGGAATCTTGGGACTTGGACTTACCGTGTATTTATTACCTTACATTCACATTGTTCTATTATTATTATTATTTGTCACAGAAATATTAATCATACAATACACCCATGCGCATTCCCCAACATTTTTATAATTTATAAAATTTGGACTGAGAAATATTAGATTATATTATATTATGGATTTCAAACTATTCATGAAAAGAGAATGATGGCATAACCATGCATATATTTAATTGTGCACAGGCCATGGGGAAGAGTGATTTACACGGCTAAGATGGGATTGGACCACGTTTAACGTTGATACCTGGATCTTCAAGTTGCTTATGAGGCAGGTAGGCAGGCATTACTAGTTATTTTTGTGTTTCTCATCGTACCTTAATTTGCTCATTTCTTCAGGTCTGTTTTTCGTTTTCCATCCATCTTTAAAAGTCAACAACTTTTGACAAGGCACAAACCCTAATTAAAAGAATTACTCATTAATTGTCCCAAAATAAATTATAGCATTAGCATGCAAGAAGATGACCCACTTTGCCCAAAAAAATTAAAAAGAGTTTCAAACAAACGTCCATGTCCATGTCCATGTCCATGTCGAAACATGTGAGCTAAGTATGTGTACAAGAGTTTTGCCAAGTGTAGGGTTGTGGTTGAACCAAACTTTTTAAATCCCCCAGAGCAGAGGAGACAGACAGGCGTCCTTTGCCAACCGGTGAAGGTGAATTCTAGAGAATCCTCAATCCTCTGTACTTTTTGCGATGCTTCGCCCTCCTCCCTTGCGCCATTTCCACACTTTACAATGCTTTGTTCGATCAAAAGTGCAAGTGAAATCTGCCTTCTTTGTGCCTCCATGGCTCTCTCTATGCTTTCTCTTTTTTTTATTCTTTAAATAAATAAACACAAAAAATCAACTTGTGAAAAAGCAAAATTAAACACTATATTAGATAAAGTCGCGAACTATCTGGAAAAAGTCTTTATTTAATAAATTTTAATTCAAATAAAATATTTTATATTGGCTAGGTGACACACTTACAATAAATGATTTGATTTTTTGATTAACCTGAATGATAATGTGTCAGTCACAAGATTTTCTTCTTTATACAAAATAATAATTAAGCGTTTAATTAGATATAATAATAACAAGAAATGCAAGCACTTATTCAATCATCACTGTTTCAGAACCAGTAAAAGTAAATGAGAGGGAAGAGAATATATGAAAAGTAAAGTTTAACATAAGAGGACGTTTTATTTTATATTTTGTCACGTTTATGCATTTAAGGAAAATTAAGTTGAGTAAGACGCCTTATACTTGTATTCTCTTCTTTCTGGGCGGTCTCTTTCCCTGGTTTATATGTAAAAGCCCATGAATGTTATAACTAGTTAAAATGAATAGTTGTGGACAACAGTAATTCCGGCGAAAAACAGTCCCTCTCTAGGACCTTGTGATTTTTTTTTTTAATCTGTCTTTTAGAATGTGCTACTAATTGATACTATCACATCTCAAGTTCTTTTTTAAAAGCAATTCGGCATCACTAGAATTTTAATTCCATAAGCTCTCTTATCCTGCAATTCTTATTAATAGTAACTAGTAGTAATGAAGTTGACATTTACTAAATCCCTCTCTAGGATCTTTTCTTTTATGGATTATTTATTTATTTTTCATACCATATAATACAAATAATAAGTAGAGAATGTAATTACACATTATTTTTCATCATAATACATCCACATCCGCCGCACCGCCAAGGACGTCCAAGATTGTTTATAAAATAAATTAAAGTATATAATAATACAAGGACAGACAGTTGGAAAGAGTGAAATCGGCAAGGATTGCTTCTTCCCCTTTTCTCTTTCCCCTCAAATAGGC